AAGACCAAATAAGGACTTCAAACAAAACAAAGAGTAATTTTCTGTTTTGTTTTATTCTTGGATCGAGCTTTAAAGGGTTAAAGATTGGTTATTGGTCAGAAAATGACAATCGCTACACCCCTAGGATTGTGATCCTATTTGTATAAGACTGAAGCTGAAAGTGCAATAACTTTGTTTTAGGTCACTATGAAAAATAAACTATAAAGGTAAAAAAAAAAAATAGAGAAGAATGAATTATGGTTTCTGTATCAGCGCATAAAATCATGAGAAATTCCTTTAATATTAAATCCTCAATATGGGGCTGTAACAGTGTCTAGAATCACCCATGCATTTACCTTAAAGTCTTTTGCAGAAGTTTTCTATAATATAAATCCATTTATTGTCCCACAATGGGGAAATTCACTCTGCATTTAACCCAAAAGTTGGGGAGCAGTGTCCTGCCATTGTGTGGCTCCTGAGGAGCAGTGTGGGTTTAAGGGTCTTGCTCAGGAACCCAGATTGTATGTGGATCAAATCAAGTACTTGCAATCTTCTCAGAGCACAAGCACACTGCTCTAAACACTAGGCCAACACTCTCCAAATATTTAACACAAAGTATATGAACATTCTTTTTCTAATTTAACATTTCAAACCGGCTGTATAGTGGCCCCAGTGGTTGCCCTCTTACCTTGCAGCAAGAAGATCCTGACCTCTTTTCCCTTGAGTTTGCATGTTCTACTCATGGCTGCATGGTTTCCTCCAATACTTGAAAAATATGACTGTTTGGTTAATCGGTCGCTCCCATTCATACTTCACTTTGATTTTCTGTTTGTGCGTCTCTAACCCAATGACCCTGGAGATTTGTGCCTTGCTGTGATCCGATTATGCAATTCTTGCATCAGGAGTCATTTAATTTGATCGCAGTTTATGAATTTACAGGACTACGAAAATGATCAATAAACACACATGTATAGCTGTCTAAATTCGTGAGTCATTAGTGTAAATAAATGTAGAATTTACGTTTTCTTGTCAACTCAGATACATGCGAGATCAGGTTTTTCATCTGTGAGAATACAAATTAGAAAGTTAAAACTTTCCAAGGAGGTTTGTGTAAATCACAAATTTACCAATTCGAGTAAAAATTACAAATTGAAGCCAACTGATGTGAAATTTCTTGCATAAAAAAATCAGGCACTCAAATACTAATAACAGATTTAGGAGAATTAATGAAATTTACAAGTGCAAACCACAGATTTCTGAGTAGGGATCACAAATTTACTGTTTATTTGTTCTTATATTCATTCTAAGTTGAAACTTTCTAACCTGTATTCATCATTTCTAAATTTGACAAATATCTGAAGTCACATGAATGTATGGGCTGAAATAAACTATTCCTAAATATATTTAACAATAAGAATTACTTATAAACTAAGACATCAAAATATTTTTGATTGTTATCCTGTTACTCCAGATGAGAAGCAGGGTAACTAAGAGTATTTAACTTTTTAAATATACTAAAACAAAAATTTCAAAGTTCAGAAAATTTCTGAACTAAACTTGTGAATTAATACTTCAATTTAAACTTGAATATATTAAAGATTATATCATGAAAAAGGCCAAGCTGTCCCAGAGATAAATTCAGGTTAAAAGCACAAAAATAAACAGGGCAGACTTCAACTCAACCTTTATTTTGTTCTTTTCTGCTTTAAATTAACTTCCTCAACTTTTTGTAACATATGAAATAAATGAAAACATCCTGAACAGGAGTGATGATAAAGACTGACTTAATTTAAACGGATACATAACAAAAAAAACAAAAAAAAACACAGTAAAACAGGTAATGTCTTTAACGTGTCTGTTAAACACTGTTCCAGCTCAGCTTGGTATGGTAGGACATGGCATCTTTACACAAATGCCTTCAGTTTCTTGCTTTGTCTTAAAAACAAAGCATTACTCTTATTGCATTTGACAGAAAAAAAAAAAAAAAAAAAATACAAACAGGAACAAAATGCTGCTTAAAAAGAAAAAACATCTGACATAAGAGACGTATGCAATAGTGCCAGATTTGTTTAAGTCAGACGGTCAAGCACGCAAAAATTAGCACACATCCAATCGCCGCTTTTCTCTCCAACGGAAGATGTCAGAATGGCATCCATTCACTTCCCAGAATGAAACCAGTAAGTGTTCAAAGGTTAGCATACACGCAAACACAAACATTTAAAAGTGGGAGCAAAAAAAAAACAAAGAAAAAAAAAACAGACACACCCGACATCATCTTCACATACTCCTGCTTTCAGCCAATGAATGTTGACACTCTTCATGCACACACAGGCAGGCAGGAGGGCAGCTTTACAGCATGTAAATAAGTGATCCAAGTTATGATTACATCAAATCCATTTCTTGAATAAAGAAAACAAAATATTAAAAAATACAATAGCGAGGTCAGTGTTTGAAGGGCAAGAAGGACATCTCGGTACTTCCACAAAATTTCACGTATTTTGTTTCTTTTTAAAACATAAAAATATGATAAACAACCAACGTACACTGACAGAGAGAGATACAACTGTACTTGTCAAATATATAAGCAGAGAGTAAATGATGAGAGGGTGCAATGGTGTTGACATGGCAGGGCGGCCGCTGGGTTCTCAGCCAAGGCCACAGCTGTTGCAACGTTTAAGCGTCCAGTAAGGTCCTCAGTTCTTGTGTTATAGCACAGTAAAAAAAAAACAAAACTAAAAAAAAAAACGAGGAGGGATTTGTAGAGGAACAACAAACCCAGAGGAATATAGTGCAAGTTTGGCTAATGATGCTTGTGTTTTTACCCTGGGTCCCTCTAATGGCGAATTTCCAACCACATCGATGTGTCAGTACCTACAGACAAACTAATTTCTGCATCTCTGTTACAGCTCATCCTTTAGATTCAGTAGTGTGGTGCTGTCCCAGATTCTCTACAAGCTCACATCCTCTTCAAATCCATCTCGCTTTCAAGCTACCAATCCCCTGCCCTCCCCGAAAAAAAACAAAAACAAATGAAGCCTGGAGCAAAGAATTATGCCAGCCAGGTCTAGACGGCTCAGTCTGCAAGTCTGACTTTTGAGATCTGACCATTAAATCGTGATACAAAAGAAAGGAAGTGGCACACTAAAAACAGCAATGGCTGAACTGGCTGACATGTACGGCTCTGGCTGAGCCGGTCTACAGTGCATGCCTGAGTGATCGGGTCTCTGGATGCTGATGGTGAGATTTGGAGTAAAAAGTCCTACAAAGTTAATGGTTTCACCTTCTTCCCCCTTTCAAGTTTTCCTGTTCTCTTCATTTTAAAGTCGAGCAGTCTCTGTGTGCATGTGGGCCGTGTGTAGTAAGTGTCTCTGGATGACCAGTGTAGCTTCCCATCTTCTGAGTAAATGCAGAGTGAAAACGTGCGTCAGTCGTTTTGTCAGATGGAGTCGGCGCCCCCGCCCAGCAGGTCCCCTGGCAGCAGAGCGGCGGGGCTGCCCATCTGGTGACGATCCTCAAGTGCTGGAGAAGCCCAGAGACTGCTGCCGCCGCTGG